AGGAACTGTAGGACAACAGAACAACGAGACAATGAGACTGGTGACTGTGACAGTGAGGAACTGTAGGACAACAGAACAACGAGACAATGAGACTGGTGACTGTGACAGTGAGGAACTGTAGGACAACAGAACAACGAGACAATGAGACTGGTGACTGGACAGAAGGCAGAGGGAGGGCAGGATATCACAACCTCAGTGCTATCTCCATTTTTAACAACAGTTAAAACAGTTCATAACAAAGACTGAGCTTAAGAAAATGTCACATTTTCAATGTTAATCAAATTGGAGATAGGACAAGAAAGTACTGAGGTCGCGATATGACACTCAAACACAACAGGAAAATGTTTCCCCAAGGCCACAGCGGCAATAGAGATAGCTTGGTCCACAAAACGAGAAACTCAAATATCAGGTGAGTTTCAGTTTTAGTAAAAGTTTTACGGCACTTGCAACACAATAAGGTCATATAAGTGCCGAAGGTTAGAGGTGTTACCAGAGAGAAAAAAGACAGAGGAGAGGTAAGGACGATAGATATTTGACAGGAAAGAAGGAGCAAACGACACCAGAGTACCCGCCAACCACCCACGAATAATAAATCAAGTGAGACACTGGGGATTTTGTCAAATTAACTTAAAAATTAATTTACCTAGTTTGCACTTGCCACCAAAAACACTATCAGACACACCAACTATTGGGTCAACAGAAATATGGAAAATAAAATCTTTACGAAAGAGATTTCAGTGAAAATAATAGAGATAAAACTAATCATAAAATCATACAAACGGCATCTCGGTAATCAACATGTCGCTATAAAACCTACTGCGCGCGCGCACACACACACACACGCACACACACACACACAAAAAGAGACAAAAACACAGTGACAAACATGTTAAGAGACAAAGAGGCAGTACCATATTCCAAGCCACCGGTAAATGAGTGTGCTGACATACTATCTTGTAAATCTACTAAATCTCAACAAGGACATAATTTCCCCTACCTGGCTATCCAAGGTGGAATTGACGACTAGTCCGTTGTGAAAGTAGGTCACGACACAATCATGATGGCGGTAGAACAAAGACACCTTCTTTCCTTTAGCAAACTCCTTCACTTCACCTGAAATTACTAAAAAAAATGTAACATTGTTTTACAAGATTGTACAAATTCCTCACATTTCACAGTGCAGCAGAAGTATGGTGACTATACATGTATGAAATAAAAAACAGTGCATGTCAAGCTTTTTTATAACCAGCACCCACTTTTGCAACCTTTACAAGGCTAAAAATGTACCTCCAGACACCTGTATTTCCAAAGGGAGCATTAACCATATATCTGTACGCCCGGGGGTCATTTCGTACCCCCGGGGTTGCATTCTTCACATTTTAGAATACTTCTAGTGAAAAGATCTCTTTGAAACTTTATATGTATTTCAAAAAATCATTTTGACAGACTGCTAAGCAAAGCGTACGGATCAGATTAACGAGTAAACTTTCTCTTTAAAAAAGTGGGGGTAAAGGGGACATTTACTCGTTAAAATTCGATCCGTACACTTTGAATAGCATACGTTCATATTTATATATGGATGCGATGGTAAAACACGACGTACGGATAGGGTTAAATAACACCTGTCACTACCAGCGTGATCCCCATCGCCCACAAAAATTACTTTTTATCGCGCGGGTCGGACAGCAATGGTCTAGAAGATCATCATGTTCTGGACAAATCGCGACCTCAGTACGTGCTTTCTTGTCCTCTATCTCCATTTTTAATAAAACGGCGAAAACAGTTTGTAACAAAGAGTGAGCTTAAGAGAAGAAGTCACATTGTCACTGTTAAAAAAAAGAAGATATGTACGCCAAGAAAGCACTGAGGTAGCGAAATGATGGACACCACAAATGGTGAAACAAGGCACTTGCCTAAATAATGAAATGGAAAAAACACATTTTCTGCCCAGGGGACAATCTTTGTCATTGGTTTCTTTCTTAGCTCACCACCTTTTATGGCTACTGAAAAACACATTAAAACTGTGTGGAATTTACTGAGCAAATGTTCCTCAAAGATGTGAGGCAGCGAGGTGGAATCAGGCTCATCAGGCTCTCGTAAATTTTTGGATATATATATATATAGAGTTATTGGTATCATCTTAAAGCTTGTTCACTTGTCTTTATTTGGATGAAAAAAATATCCCTTTATCTTGAATACAAGTCGAGATATTTGTGAATGAAGGAGGTGGGGGTCACTTGTTTTCAGGGAAAATTAGTGAGAAAATGGCCTCCAAAGATAAGTTATAATTTCCTAAGGTTAATATAAAAGAGTCCGCGGTAACTGAAAATTTACATTTTTTGTGCCTTTAATCAACGTTTTTCAGAAAAATCCACACAGAACCGAGTTCTTTAATGGGCATGAAAGGTGTTGAGCCTAAAAACAAAAACTTGATAAAAATTCACAAACCTGGGGGAAAATGAAAATTTCTTCACTTTGATTATTTTGACGAGAGCCTGATTCCACCACACTGCCTCACATATGATTAAAAAATTTTTAACTAATCATTTGTGACGGAAATATATAAAGTTCAGCGCATCAAAATTAGTAGAAAATGGACAATTGTAGCTAAATGTGAAAAGGGAGGGAAGGTAATTTAAAAGAGAATACTGAGGGACTTTCTCTTAGTAAAAACAGCAGGAACTTTTATAAAATATAAAACAACTTGTAAAAAATTTAAAACACACATTCTTGCTGAAGAAAGTCCTCTGACAAACTTCCTACAATTACAATCTTTTGATTCAAACCATTTTTTAAAGGCAGAGAGTCGTGCTTTCCCCACCCAATCAGCAACACAATTTAGGGTAATTTTTTACTTTCACTCCCGCACACAGATGCACTGCTTCAGGGGTCAAACTGCTGTAACACTGAAGTGTACTGTTTGCTGCAGATCACACATAAAGCCACTAAAACTGTCACAAATCAATTATTTTCAAGACAACTTCAAATCTAACTAACTGTAAATATATCAAATTATAGGTAAAAACAGGGGGGCATGCCCCCCTGTAACCCCCCAGATTTTCTTTTACCCCAGTGGGGCAGGCCCCCTTGGAACCCCCTGATTGGTCCAAAGCATGTCTATCTCGGTTAAAAACAATGAAATATTTCAAAAACTATTTATTTGCGACGGAAATGAAGTTGATATTCATGTTCAGCGTATCAATATTAGCAGAAAATAGACAACTGGGAGCTGGGTGTGAGGCGGGAGGGAAAGTAAAAAAATACCCAATGTAGTAGAAAACCATTTGAGGAGCCGAGGGTCTCCAACCCATCCTGTCTCTCTGTCATTGTATCCTGGCCAACCTTAACTGAGAGGGGTTCATAATACCACATCCTAGCACACAGATACACTTATTAAATGACGAGCCTCTTGACCGTATATATTAAATTATGATGAAAATTAAATAAATTCTTACACATGATAATCAAACTCAGGCTCGAGGTCTTAGAGTAGTTAGAGCGGTGTGTGGTGGCAAATCATCTGACCACTCGGGCAGATTTACGAAGAATACCGGACCACTCGTACAATATTGCGCGAGAAAGTGGGGTAGGTGGGGCGGGTGGTTGGGGTGGAGGATGGGGGAGGGGGGGTTCAGGGGGGGTCTCCCCCCTGACAAAATTTTAATGAACAGATCTACCGGTCCGAGATTCTCCATTGAGAGATTTTAAAAACGGGGAAATTAGGAATTCCTAAGGTTGAGACATAGGCAAAGTCAGTCCGCTGGTCCGGTATTCTTCAATCTTACCGACCACTCCACCACAGACAATTTATGCTAGCATCTCAAACAATCGTGAGATTAACTGATGATTAACATAATTCATACAGATATAATTAATATCTATAAGACCTAGATTAGATAGATATATATATATATATATATATATATATATATATATATATATATAGATCTATATATATAATAAATTAATAAATTCTAAAAGTACTAAAAGTGTGAATTTCTAGTTCAAACTAATTGAGTATCTAGGCCAAACACTTCAATCAAGTAGTGTGCCACTCCTGGTAGATAGATATAAAAGCTTTAAAAATTCAAAACAAAATCTTTCGAGTCAGAAAGTGGAAGCCAAGACATTATTTCAGAACAAACACTAAACCAGACCCAGATCAACAATGAAACTACTTTTTATTAAATTAGATTTTAAAAAGACCTCTAAAACCCAACAGCCCTCCATGAGATAAAAGTTCAAGTCACCTCTAGATCTACACACTAGCCTCGGCCTGGCCTACACAATCACCTGGCCCTAAATCAAGGAGTGGGAGATAGACCTACCACAGTTCAGAATAACCTAATTGCTCAAACACTGTGAAGAAAACACCTGTATGGTTTCTTTATTATATTTTTCAAACCGGTCAGGTAGCCACCTTCATTTTTTGGCTGGAACGAGAAAATCAAGATGAAAAAAAAACACCACATCTTCACTAGGCCCAACGATCGCCTCAACTGTTTTTTCTACGGGAACTTGAGCATACACACAAGAACATTGGAATAGGACTGGGATGGTTCAGAATAGAATTGGAGCTCTTTCGGTTTGAGTCATAATAGGACCTGCTAATGAGTAACTGCTGACTGGGAGTGGAATCTCAAGCTTACCGTGAAAAATTAGATGACAAGTGGCCGAGAAAATGCATCAACAACATCATATTGATTAGGCGTGCCATTTTAAGTAGCAACAAAAAGGGGGACTAGGAATTGGGTCAGCGTGAGCGACTCCGCGTACATTCTGATTTAAAAGACAGTTGCTTCAATCTAGATCTAGTCAAGATGACACAAATAGAGAGATTTCTAGGTCGCGACCCAGCCCCTCAGTGCCTATGTTTTACTGAATGTTCCAGTTTTGGGGGAACAAAGCGAGCACGGACGGCACTCTTCTTCCGTGTTCAAATGTTGACTCACACAGACGGACGGTTTTACCCAAGAGAGCTCACCAACAAACACCAAAGGGGGGAAAAATTCAACAGACAATTTTCCTTCTGAATAGACATAGATTTACAATTTCTGTACATTACCTGAAACAGCTAAAATCCCGGAAACAAGCAATAAAACCACTCGTCCTAGGAGTCTCGACACGCGTAGTTCCATCTCTCTCTCCTCTCCATCACTGCCCAGACACTCTAGCTCGCGACTCGGCCCAGGCCCAGAACGAAGGAATAATTGTCCGGGATATTTTTAGAACTTACATCAAAAAGTAGAAATAGGCTAGGGCCTATCCAAGTTACGATTCAAATCCTGATAGCGGCTTGGATTACGTTTCTCACCTTGAAAAGGTAGATACATTTTTTTTTAAACATGTATTATCGTGTATTCAAGAAATAAAAATAGGTTAGAAAAGAGTAAATTGTAGAGCAGAAAAAAGTATGTGAACCGTATGAGAACTTTACAGATATAGTTTTAGGCCTAGATCCACAAGTTAAAGAAGGGCGTGCCATTTATTGTCCGCGCAGTGACAAATTATTCTAGTGTCGGTCTAGGCTTTTGAGAAGGCCTAGGTGTCGGTGTTTGTACGATTATAATAATACATTTATCTGTTATTGTATTCAGTTGTTGTTGTTGTTGGACCAAATACACTACGGCTTGTTCCTACCCCCC